GCTGCCCCGCGGCCCTGGGCGGGCGCACAGGTGAGTGTGACGGCCGCGCCCTCCCCGTGTCCCTGGCCGAGCTCTGCCTTCGGAGGCCTGGGGGGCACAGGCGCCTGCAGGGCCCACAGCCCCCCACAGCTTCTCACCTGCAGGTCCCCGTCTCACCTGTCTCACCCGAGACCACGGGCGTGGGTGCGCCTTGCGCACTGTCGGCGAGGGGCCCCGATCCCCCAGGTGCTCTCGGGGTGCACTCTGGTCCCGCAGGTGGAGGGGGGAGCCACGGGCCCTCTTCCGTGTCTGGGTGCTGCTTCCCGTGAGTGGGACCTCCTCTGCGGGGACCTCACTGGGGGGCGGGGAGCCGACCCCGGGGGATCGACAAATACAGGTTTCCTGGAAGGCAGGAGAGTGGAGGGTTCATTTTATTCAGTGACACGAGAATGTCAGCCAGCTCGAGATTGCTTCACTGTTTGGGGTCCGTTGTGGTTCCACATGAGTTTTAGGTTGGTTTTTCTAGTTCTGGGGAAATGTTGGAATTCCGATAGGGCTGCATGGAATGTGTAGCTTGCTTTGGGCGGTGTGGGCGTTTTCACAGCACAAATTCTTCCAGCCCATGAATGCAGAGTATCTTTGAGTTTGTTTGTGTCTTCTTAAGAGTCATCAGTGTCTCGTAGTTTTTAGAGTACAGATCGTTGACCAACTTGGTTAAGTTTATTCCCCCCAAATTTTATTTTTTTCTACGTATTTGTAAATGGGATCGTTTTCTTAATCGCTCTTTCTGATCGTTGGTTTTTAGTGCATAAAATACAACTGACTTTTGTATATGGATAATGTTTTTTATCCTGCAACCGTATTGAATTTGTTTATAAGTAAATGAAATTTTTATCTCGAAGAGATAGCTGTGCTCCTATGTTCATTGCAACGTTATTCACAGCAGCCGAGATGTGCAGCCAGCCTGCGGGTCCGTCAGCGGGCGAATGCGTGAATGTACACGCATAGACGGCACGCGTGACGTGTTGAGTGTACACGCACGGATGGCACGCGGGACATGGGAGTGTACACGCATAGACGGCACGCGGGAGTGTACACGCACGGATGGCACGCGGCACGTGGGAGTGTACACGCATAGATGGCACGTGTGAGTGTACACGCACAGACGGCATGCGGCGCGCGTGAGTGTACACGCTTAGGCGGCACGCACAGCAGATACCGTTTCGCCTTGAAGGAGGAGCTCCGTGCGTGGGGCCCAGGGGCTTCGGGGGGGTGAAGGAGTAGAGGCGAGAGCAGCTACCTGGACGGGGCGGGGGAGGGGGGTGCCGGGACCATGGACGTCGCGGGAGACTCCAGAGCAGCGTCCAGGAGAAGGTTCTCGGAGACGGGGTGCCCAGTGGGGGGCCTCCGGGCGCATGGGCGAGTCACTCAAGTCACTAAAACCCTGACTGAGGAGCTGATTTTAAAATTTGTGTTTTAACTCATTGGAATTTAAATTGAATGGGCGCACGTAGCCAGTGGCTGCAGATGGGGATTGGCCTTCTGGGCGGGGGATGCTGGCCGTCTGTGAATGAGGGGGCGCTGAGGGAGCCCCCGAGTCTGTAGTTGCCCACAGCCTGTTTGTTTCTAGGGAAGGAAAACTCTCCTTCTGCCAGGCGCATCTTGCAAGACGGCTCATTGGGCTCAGACGTCTATTAGGTGCCGTGCTGGTGGGGTCCAGAGACCCTTGGGATTCCAGTAGAGACACTTCCACTGCCCACCTCCCAAAGGGCATCTTTAGTCACCACTGCTGTGGGGGCGGGTCGGCTGTCCCAGGACAGGAAATGGGGTGTGTTTCTCTTAGCTCGGGCCTGGTCACTCACACACTGCAGGGCGGGGTGCCATCCCCCGAAGCCCGGCCATCATGCGTGAGGCTCTGAGCAGGTGCTGTTGGCGAGGCCCCCGGCTGCAGACCCTGGCACGTGCCATGGGTTATCAGTCTAGAGAACTTTTTTTTCTAGTAAAGCTCCGGGTCCCCTGTACTGGGCTCAGCTGTGTGGCATAGCCATGGGCGGGTCCCCTGTCCTGGGCTCGCCTGCGGGGTTGCCATGGGGAGTCTGCGAGACGTTTCAGGGGCAGGGGCTGGCAGGCGTCCTCTGTGACTGCTGGCAGTCAGTGTTTTAGGCCCGGGGGCCACATGGGCTGCTGCTGCTGCTCTGCCGTTGTGGCCCAGTAGCACGGTCAGTGTGGCCATGTGCCAGCAAGACTTGCTCTACGGAGAGGGCGGTGAGGTGGAAGTGACCTTACCTAACAGTGCCCACTGCGTGCCCGGCGCCCTGTGCCTGATCGTGTGCACGCCTGCCACGGCCAGCGGTGGCCTCTCCGTAAAGCAGGTCTTGCTGGG